AAAAAAAAAAAAAAAAAAAAGAGATCTGGGTTGAACGTTGTGCAACGCCTTTTTTTTTTTTCCTTTCTTTTGAGGCATTCCTTATTCTTGCTCTGATTAATCATGATAGTTGCTGCATTTCTACATTGATTATCTTTTCTAAGTTAAACACAAGTGTTAACTAATCTCCCCAGCATTCCTGTGAGGCAAATAATGAAATCAGATACAAAAATTAATCGGTGTTTCCCAGGGCCAAGCAATGAGTCATTTTGTGTAGCTGGGACTGGACCATGGGGCGTTACTGTCATCCAACACCATGTTCCTTTCTCTGAGCCAGGCATCCTTCCCACACTGAAGGGAGTAGCCAGGCAAGCGCAGCTTCAGTAAAGACAGTTGTAAATAATGAGTTAGCCAAGACTGAAGAGTAAAGATTTTTTCCAAAGATGATGTAAGACAGCTGTAGAGGCTCCTCCAGTTAAGGCTCTGGCAATTGCTGTTTGCAGAGCAACAGGTCAGCGGGGACGCGAAGTGGGGAATTGTACCAACCCTTGCCATGGCTGGGTTATGATCGTGCTTTAGTCCAGCCCCGTGGGTTTCTTTCTTTGGCTTTATTAGGCTTTCCCATCAAAATCTGCAAAATCTTAAGTTTGCAAAAAAGAGTGTGAGGAAAAATATGTTTTGGGGTGAGCCCTTCTCTAACAGGCTTTTTATTGGTAATAATTTTTACAAAATTCATTATGAAAAATTATCCGTATGTTATCCATAGCTAAAACTATACTTGACTTTATTATAAGCATGTGTGCAAATTCACCTGTGCACTTGGGTTTCAGTTTTAGCACCTTTTGGTTAGCTTCTCTGTGTCTGTACACTTGCTTTTCAGTGGGCCAAGCACCTAAGCCTTGCACTGCAAACAAAAGGCATTTGAAAGGAACCTCATCGTGCACTGGTCTTTGTTTAATATCAAACACTTCAGGCTTGCATTGCACTTTTTTTCTCAACTGATAGGGTATAAAATTCTGTTCTGAATTGTGAAAAATTTGTGGAGCACAGCTTCTCTCTGTTTAAAAAAAGGTGGCAGTCTTTGAGGGGGAAGTCTGAGCTGAGTTGAACTGGGCAAGAGAGTATTAGTGTTGCTTTCCATGGCTATGGCTTACCTTTCAGCCTTTGAAATCACACCATGGGGAGGGAAGAAAGCTGTGTCCTTTTCATGGCATCACGTGCTGTATTAGCCATCAACTACCACACCTGTTAAGTAAAGAATATCACTGTATTTAACAATTCACAAGGCTGCTTGTATCTTTAAATGCTATGTAAATATAGCCTTCATTAATCACTGGCCTCTTCAGTATATTAAATCTCTTCAAGTTTCTCCCTGGACACTGGCATTAAAAAACAGGACAAGCAAAACGTCTTGGAACTTTATTGGTGCTGGTTAAGCAAGGCAATTAGTTCCTTAACGCACAAAGCTCAGGTTAAGTAATTCTGTGGTGCTTTGTCATTCTTGCAATTGGCTGGCTTTCCCCAAAGGATGGCATTTCAGGTATTTTCCTTGAAATAACTATGACAGGAAGCCAAGGTAATCTTGACCTAGGCATGGCAATGACTTGCCAGTTGTGGGTAAATGTAGATGTCTTTAGCTTACCTTTCAAAATCAGGGACTGGGCTACACCTAAAGCAACACCACGATCTGAGGTTGTCCCTTCTTGTATTCTCTGATGGTTGCCCTTCCTCTGGCTCTTAGAGAGCCCCGTTCCTCCCTGGCCTGTCAGGATTGGGCCTTGGTGAAGAATGCTGAACCTGTCGGTCTCATGTTTACCTATCGGTGATGATTCTTCAGCCTGAAACATGGGTGAAAGTGCACCTGAGCATTCTGCAAGGAAGGGTGGGAGCAAGATGCCTCTGTAGTAAGTGTAACAGCATAGCCTCAAAACCTTGTTTTTTACTGTTGGTAGTTTCCATGGAGCTATGAAAACAAAATCAGAGAAAAAAGCCAGGCCAAGTCACTGCTGCCAGCTGTTGGTGTAAAACTGTATATATAAAGTGAGTAATCAGCTCATTGCTCTATATATGGTTATGGAAATATGACAGCTTCAGTGCTTGAGATAGCAGCATGTTTTCTTTTTCTGTGCTTCACGTCTGTGCCAAGATGAGTGGAGTCCTTCTGAGGTCTCACTGGAAAGGTGGTGTCAGTCCTTGTGAGCATTTGTGTGTGTGTCATAGATCAATGTCTGCTGTGTACCGACAGGCTGGGGCTCTGAGCAACCAGACAGGGCTTTCTCGGGCCCATCGAGTTCGGTCAGTCTCATCCACATGAGAGCTAGAGTCATTTGACTCAACCAATTCTTGCTGGTCTAATTCTTGGTGTATAAATGGATATGCTGGATCAGATGACTTGTCCATCTAGTACAGCATCCCTGTCTCTTAACGTATTGAATATTGCAACAGCAGGATAAATTTTAGGCTTTGGTAACAATGTCTAGCAACAAGGATGCCAAATGGTGTTTCCCACCATTAGTGCTTACTAATGCACTTGTGAAAATTTTCCCTGTTGGACCTGTTCTGGACATGGCTTCTGGTCTCCACTCAGGTGAAAGCCAGCGTCAAGGGAGTAGGCTCTTGCAAACTGGAGTGCGATGATACTGCCTTGCTGAGCAGAGCAACCTGAGAAGTAGCTGTCCACGCTAGGTCTGCTGGTCTAGATTTCAAAGTAAGCCTTTAAACACACAATGTAAATTTGACCCACCTCATCCAGCAGAAGGCAGGTGGGAAGAACTGATGTTCCAAAATAAAAACATTAGGGGTTTTAAGCTCTTTCTGTTTTGTAACATGAGGAGTTTTTTAGGAATGCAGTGGGCTTTAAAAATCTCTCCAGGTGGGTGATCCCAGGCTCTTTAAAATATCTCAGCAAACTCCCTGTCTGTGGAGTGCTGCATGACTTTACATTGTCCCTGCACTGATCTGCAGAGGAAAGCAATTTCTCTGAGGCGGGATTTGAACAACCAGCTACATACCAAATGCACTGAGTCAGTGCCAGTAAATTCGTAAGTCCTGAATCACCACTGAGCTCTTCAGAGACACTTCACTACAATACATGTGCCTCTTCAAACATGAAAGTTATGTTCTCTTAATTACTTAGTGCCTGCGTCAACTTTAGTGCAAGATTTAGTTTTGTTCATTCCACCTGAGGCCATGTCTTTGCTGCAGAAGAAATACTACCTTTTGTCTGGGCTGGCTCTCTCAGGGTAACGCCTCCTAAGAACAAGGTGACTTCCCTGGAGAAGCTGCTATAACTGAAGCAGTCAGTCAGACCTGTTCTTTCTTCCTTTACCAGCTGCATCAAGTTATAAACTACAAAGGCTTACAATTTTGGTTATGATAATTCCCTTATGGTCTTAGGTTAAAACTGCTGAAAAATAGTACACAAAATCTGTGCCCTAGTACAAGGAACACTTGTATTTAAATCTGTTCCCTCTGTGCTTTTCTGCTGATCTTACAGCTGTACCACATTTTTGTGCAAACTGATCTTTTTATTGGCTTTCTCTCAACTGTGGAAAAGGACATTAAGTGAAAAATGTTTCAATTCTACATGAGATTGAAGGGGTTACTAGTTAGGCTGTTTCTTCAAGATTGTCAGAAGAAAAATAGGAATGTCTGTTAAAAACATTGAGAACTACTTAGTTCTGGCATTTTTAACCTTTTCCAATTTGTAGATCCCTAAGATATTTCCAGTGAGCCACTGGTCATGGAAGTCTATGGACAACAGACTTGTGATTTGCCTCACTACTTTAGATGCAATCTGCAGATCACCCTGAAAACTACTGCTGTCACCTGTTCCGTCAATAAATAAATAAACTGGAGTTATGAAAAAGGAATCAAGGCCCCGATGATACAGACTGGATCAAAGAGATTTTTCAAATGCAAACAGAGGCCTTTCTGCATCTTGAAGCAACTCTGTGGCTGGCCTGTGTCAGTGGGGCACTAGGCTCTGATGACAAAGCCACTGATAAATCCAGTATGTTTCAGCTCTGTGTGCTTTGTTGGTGGATGTACTTTTTTTCTTTCCTTGCTGTTACATTTGCTGAGGGAGCATGATCTAACCCAAGAGCATGTCAGAACGAAACTGAAGTGGGCAAACGTATGCATCATGCCTAACAACTGACGTTAGCCTGTTCCTAGTAAAACTTTGCACTTTTTTTTTTCCCCCCCTCCTTCCCTCCCCTCCTCAGGTTTTTGCTGAGCCCTCCATTAGTCTGTTCGCTCTGGAATGCTGCAAGGGCAGAGAGCTGCACTTCAGTGAACCCATCAATTCTGTTTTGAATGAGGACCTTCATTTTTACACTCAATCTGTGTGGGTGAAAAGTGGATTGTAAGTATGGAAGAAATATTCTTGTCAGGTTTGCATTATAGGAGGTAATACTGAGCATGCATTTTCTCCCAACTACTGCCTTTTTTCACAGGATGTGTTCTACATTCTAACTTTTATTTTGAGACAATATAAAATCCTAAAATGCGGTTGAATGCTAGATCCGCTTTTGTATCAGGACCCAAAATGAACAAAATCTCTGGGCAGAGGGTGTATTTCCCCCTGTAAGAATCGTCCTTTTATCCCTATACAGTAACGAACAATAGAGCCCGTTGTTCAAGCCAGGAACCAAAAGCAAATAAGTTTTGATTACTGACCTACAAAGAGTAAACTTGGACCGCCTTTTTTAACTGGCTGTAAAATACCTGCTGTAAAGTGCAGCGATTTAACTTAAACCACTGCAGTGATTCAGTGAAGCTTGACGTGCTGATCAGCTGCCAAAGAGGCAGCAGCTTCTGAGAGAAGCTCGGGGCAGATCTCACCGCTGGAACAGTCATTTGTTTCTGTTATTAGTTTAACCCCGCTCCGTGACTGTGAATACACACCCAGGGTCTTCGGTGAAAACCATTTTACGTCTGCAGAAGTGACCTTCTAACCTCTTCCGCATCTCCTCCTTTCACCTTTTGGAGAAACTCCCAACTATTCTGTTTCAGCCAGGTTTTCAGCCTCCACATCCACAGCAGCAACAAATAACTTGCAGAGTCTGATCCTGCAACGGAGACTGACTGGAAACTGCCGTTCTTCTAATGTGACACGTATTTCCTGTGTTAATTTTTAACCTCTTCCCCACCTTTTTCCTATAGACAATGCGGTAATTTTCTTGAGAGGTCTTATGGGATGACACAAAACCACACAAAATTTGTATTAATTGGGCAAGAAATTAGTGTAGACTGTTCGGGGCTTAGGTTTTTCAAATGCATCAAGTCTGTTATCATCTAGAAGTTAAAACCCTTCTATGGTTCTCTGTGATAACATCGCTAAGCACTCCTCTGATTTTTTGAGGTTGGTACAAAGGCTAAGCCTAACCTAGCTAACGCTCCAGAGCACTGTGGCGTGTTTTCTTTCAGGAATTTCACACAAGCGTTTTCTTGAAAGGGTGGTTATAAATTGAAACTCCCTTTCTTTAAGAGCAGCCAGTGGCAATTGACTTTAGCCGTGGGCTCATAGTGAATATTAGCTTCCCCACAGAGCTTTGCCAATTCACTATAAATTTTGGTCCCTAACATCTGAGCCCTTGCTGGAAATACAGAGAGAGAGTGATCATCTGCTGCTGCTGTTGTCTTGAGGTGCCCCAGGTGAGAGCAGCGAGCAGCTGCCCTTTGAGGCCGAGAACAGCATCATTTGTTGTGATCTGTGCTAGTTTGGAGGAGGAAAGGCCACCTTTGGGAGGAACACCTGACTAACTTCTGGTGGGAGTACGTAAACCTTCATGCCTCTATGGAGGTGTTACACTCTAAAGTGTTTTCTACTGGGGAAGGTCTCTTGATGACCTTTTTCTGCCTTCTCCTCAGGGGTGTGGAACTGGAAATTAAATCACTTTTCCCGTGCAGTTGGCTATAAAGAGTGATGGCTTTGGGACCACATAGTAGAAAAGCCCGGGAGAGTGAGCACAGCAGTCCAGCCCCTTCCCCACCTTCCTGCTCATTTCTGAGTGTCCAAGCCAGGTCAGCCAGTTCCCTGTCTCTGAGAAGGGTCAGGGCAGAACAGCTGGGCTTTCTCTGAGCTCCTTGGGATGCTGCCCAGGAAACACCTCCACAGCCTGTCCTCATCCCACACTGCAGATAGGTAGCTTCAAGGTGAGAGTGGCAGGTGATCGTGGGAAGTCTGTGGGATGTCCTAGAGGGTTTCTTTGCCTTATCTGTGATCAAGAGGTCAGGAAGGTGGATTTAGAGTTTTTTTGGCTCCTTGCCCCAAACCTCCTGTCAGCTTTAGACAAATGACAAAGATTTATGCATATATACCAATGGCATCTTGCCGCCAGGCTTGAGTACAAGGATCCTTCCTGAGCCAGCTGACCACCTCAATCAGAGCCTGGACTGTGGCTTGGCGAAGGGGGCTGAGTTTCTCCAAGGTGTGGGAAACATGGCACAGCGGAGGTTGCTGGTCTGTGTGAGAGCCGAGATGAGCTTTGTCTGTGTCGCTGCATGCCAGAAGCCCAACCTGGCTTCAGATGGTTATTACTGTAACAGTCCTTCCCCTCTCCCTTCCTGTAAATGTCTGCTTTGGCAACAGAAACTGCATTTCCAATGAGACTCTTTGATGCTCCAAGAAGAACAACATTAACAGTGAATTCTCAGTGACGCCACAGGAAGCATCGCAAGAAAAAAAGTCAGGAAGGTGTTAGAAATAAGGAACGCACAGTGGTGGTCAGGCTGCTCTGAACACCTGTTAGTCAGGAGGGACAGGGCTTAATTTGAAGCAGCAGTGATACAGCCTCATTACACAGCAGCGCCCGGTTGGTGCGTTTCAGCCTCTGTGGAGTCCTCAGCAAGGCTGGCTGGCAGTTTCTCCAAATTATGTGCCACGGGGAACAGTAAGTTACAGGTGCTGTGAGCACTGCTTGTGGATGTTTTCTCACTGGCCCAGAGTGCAGCCATCCCTCATGTTCTTGGCAGCTGACCTGTAGAACAGGTAACATGGGGAAACCAGTATTTGCCTTCTGTGCAGACAACTTAATGAGTCAAGCCTTAGGATTCACTGCCTGCACAACGATGTCCTATTGGTGTAACAAAACTGGTCTCTGATCCTGAGGCTGCCTTTGTGAGCAGCAACACGTTATCTGCTGAGCAGATACCTGGGTAACAAGGGATCTGTATGGGCTGGCGCTTTAACTGTTAACAAAGTATTCAGCCATGTCCATGGCTCAGATATGTTCACTAAAGAAAGTCTGTTACAGCAGTGTGTAGGGTTTGGAGTAAATATTCTGTATGTGTTTTCAGACAGGTGGAATAGCTATAGAAAGCTTTAACTGTAACAAAAGAAAACATTGGACAAGATCCTCTCATAATTAATATGTACAACCAGGCAAAGCTGCAAGTAGTGCAGCCTGGTGTGTGACTTTCGACATTTGGGGTTTGTGTGATGATTGGTTTGGTTTGGTTTAAATCCTGCAAGCCCACTGACACCCGCACTATTCCCATCGGGGTTCATGCCGAGGTTCTCATATTTGTGGGGAAGATTTGGGCGTGGAGGGGGGAGTTCATGAGTTTGAGGCAAACAGAAAACATGTCTTCATTTAGACATAAAACAGTTTAACCACCAAAGTGGATGGCATTGGGCGGCACAGTAATACAGGTTTGATATTAGTACTGCTGCAGGCAGGTCTGGAGGCTTTCAAGAGCACAGTCCTGAAGACAAGCCTGTAGTTTAGTTTTGCTATGGTTAACGTGCAGTCTTTCATGTTCTGTTTTCTGTATCCAGGTGGATTGCATATGAAGGATGTAATTTTTTAGGAAAGCAGATTCTGCTGGAGCCCGGTGAGATTTCAAACTGGAGTGAACACAGTGGCTGGAAAGTAATTGGCTCCCTTCGTCCTGTGAAACAGGTAGTGTAACTGTGTGTGAGGACAATTGGGTTTTTTGGACAGGAATTAGCGGACAAGTATCAGCTCTAGCACTAAGTACAATGGTGTGCATTGTACTCCTTCAATCAGGCCAAATGATGAGAGCCAGAAGGACCTACTGGAAGATTACTGAAGCAGAAAATTCCTCTGGTGGCAGTTATTGAGATCTATATTAGGCTCCTAAAGGGAAATAATTCCTAGTTTCTTGGAGCCAAGTTTTGTTTTTCTGAATGGCTCATTAATATGTTCTGTAGATGCTCTATTTTTACATTTTTGCCATATGACAATAATAATGAGAAAACCAATTATGCATTGGCTTGTTTCATAATTAACATAAATGGAAGCAAGAACAAATTTTATTGTGCTGTAGCCTGGATTTCCAAAAGAAGGAAAGTTTATGCAGCCCCACCAAGTTTCCCCTTTTTGCCTTCCCCCAAGTAATGCCATTCTCAATGTCGTTCAAAGATTCAGGTCTCAAAGCCACAAGTTCTTTGGAGCTTTGTGAAAGGTAGATAGAGAAGCCAGACTGAGATAAGCGCCCTTCATTCATTGAAAAGTGGGTACAATTCTGCTTCTCTGCCTTTCCAAGACGGGTCAGGTCATCAGTGCAACACATAAGCTGTAAACCAGTCAAAGCACGTGTTGCTGCGTGCCCAGCCACACGGCTGTGGGAGGGCAGCGCGGAAAAGGGCAGGGGAGAGTAGCAGGGAATGTCAGCAGTCACTCCACTGGAAAAGAGTTTTCCTTAGCTCTGCTTCTCCCAAAACAGCTTGTTTCCACTTAGTGACAAATGCTGCGTTCAACTGGGGAAAGGCTGCAGTGAACAAAAATAATCATCTTGACCATTAGTTATGTATCGTCTGCTCCCCTATTTTCCACCCCTGGAAAAGTAAAGGATTTTTTTTTTTTTCCCCTCACCACTGATTTGTTAGTGTGGGAAAGTTGACAGCCCTCTGGAATTCTTTGGAAGTGGTAACTAAGAAAGGATCCCATTTTGGCTTTGTTTTTGCAAATAATAATCTTGAGCTGATCTTAAAAATGGAATTTTCTCTTCAGCCAGCAATCTGAAGAGTTTTTGTATTTGGTAGTGTCCTTTTTTACACTGCAACACTGAGTAGTGTTGTAAGGCCTACTTCACCTACTTTGGTGGGACTTTTGACATTTGGGGTTTGTGTGATGATTGGTTTGGTTTGGTTTAAATCCTGCAAACTGAGAGCTTCCTTGAGGCAGCCAGCTACCTGTGCTTGACACTTCTGTGGGCATATCGTCAATTTTTTTGAGACTGGAGTAATGCTACAAACCTGCACCACTTTTTATATTTCTTCCTTCTTTCTCCATTACAAATTGCAAAAATAGTCAAGTCTGCCAGTGTAACAGGTAGTGCAAGAAAAAGCAAAACATTTGAAACCTCATGCAAGATGAGACACAATTTTGCTCAGTGACTTTTTGTAATAAAATCCCCTCTTTGTAAAGAACAACTGTACACTATCCTCACTAATGCAAGTTAGGTTATGGATACTTGGTGGGAGAGAGGCCTTACTGTCTGTACCTTAGGGTTTGTTTTAACCTGAAAAACAGGAGGTTTGAAGATCCCAGAAGACGATGCTGTGATTGACATGGAGTTCTGGCAGAGCTGCCCTTTATACTGCTCTTTATTTGTGCCAAAATCGGGGAATAACAGAAGCAAAGCTTGAAGCCTGTAGTAGCCCTACAAAATCTCCTTATTTTTTGAGCAAACTGATTAAACAGGGATGCCAAGTCAGTACCCAGTTTTCCATGTAACCCCTCTTATTTCAGTTGATGGGAGCTGAAGTTGCTGGGTATGTGACTCGCTAGGTCTTGTGTCCTGAGAATAAAAGCTTGACGAGTTACAGTCCATGTACTGGCATTGGAATGAGGGAAACGTGCTGAGCTAGAGATATTTGCATATCACAGGAATTAATTCTATAGACATACATTTTTAAAAAAATCTCTCTGCCGTTGCTGCTTACAGCTGTCTATCTGCCTGTGAAAAACACCTATGGCTGCCTTTCATGCACATTCATTTCCAACAAAAAAGTTATTTAACATTCTTGCCTGAAACCAGAAATGGAACATATGCTTTAGAAAACCAATGTAAGATGGAGGGGAGGCATTCTCACATCAACTTTCTTAACCTCTGTGTTAGAACTGTCTTCCTTCACGCTATTTCAGCCAGCAGTGTACCTCAGAGTGAAGAACCGAGCCCAAGGTAAATATTTGACAGTCGCTGGAAGCCTAGCAGATATAAGAGCAACATCAGTGTGCGCGTCCCCGTACAATGGCAAGAATACCCAGATCTGGCACTACTGTCGTGGACTCTTCAAATCCAAGGTGAGGTTCCAGATGCTGGAAGTGAGTGGATTGCATCACAGGCTGTCCTTTTTCTGTTGGCTAGCTTCCGGTCTTTCCCATGCATCTTAAACCAAAACTATAACCTACATCCTCCTGTTATGTATAGACAGATTTGGCAAGTTGGACTACGTTCCACATCTGTCTAAGGAGATTGATGTTCCTGGAAGTAGGAGCCTGGTTTTGTCTAAAGTCTCAAGTTTATTACCTTGAAAGCGTTAAGAATTTCTCTGAAAAAGAAAGATGTGAAGAAAGGCTGTAAGTGATTTTGTATTCATGCTGCCCTGGGCAGTCTGTTATTAATATAAAAAGCTGACGATTTAACATAAGAAACACCTGAAGTACCAAAGGCCACCACCTTTTGATCAAGCAACTGGTCAACTGCTGAATAATCTGTTCCTAGCTTGCTTGCCAGGCTTGTTACCAACTATGGCGTGATTACTGCAATATGCTCGGTGCCTGAAACAAAACAAGTCAGACGCAAACCCAAGGCTTTGCGGCCTGGATCTCACTTCCCTTCTTGTTCCTTAGGCTAACAACGCCTGTCTGGACCTCATCGGTGGCAGAGATGTGCCTGGGGCCAAAGTCGCGCTCTGGGCAGAACATGGGAAGGACAGGCAAAAGTGGAGACTCAATGAGGATGGAACCATCAGTTCATACCTCAGCGAACACCTGGTGCTTGATATTAAAGGTATTTAAAAAGCCCAACACAACAAACAACTAAACCTCACACGTTCCGAGTGCATTTTTTTGATTGAGGTTAAAACTGCTGTATTCCAGCTTTTTGTACTTAAGGTTAAATAGTGAGGTCTGTCCTTCCTGTTAGGTTTATGGCCAGCTGCTTGACAGCGGGACAAGAAACAACAGGGCAGGGGGAAACCTTACTCTCTTGATCCCAGAGGGTTTTTTCAATCAGATCAACTGTTCTACTTGAGGGAGTTCAGTAGTGCTGATGGCAAGAAATCCAAGTTAGAGAAGACAAAATGGTGAAGGAGAAGCAAACACAGAATAGATTTGGCTCAAAAAGACAAAAGTGCTCACTCCTAATGTTTTCAGGCTGGTTAAAATTGTCACTGCTCAAGTCCTAGTCCTTCTAACTATCCGTGGAGGTAGTTCATTCAAGCCTTGCTGCTGGCGCTAGGGTTTTATGCGTAGGAAGAGGTAGCAGGGTAGTGACTGCAGCGGCTGGTCGTGAGGTTGGGGCTCTACAGCGCTCTCTTCTCAGATTAAAGGCCTAAGTCAATGAATTGACAGCCCAACACCCCTGCAGGGCGTAGAGACCAGGGTAAGGGCACATCCCAAGGTGGTCATCAGCCTTTTCAATGCATGGCCTACTGGCTGTTACACAGCTGACCTGTGCAGTTCAAACTTACTGATAATGAGTTCTCAGCCCTGACATGTTGAATTAATAGAGCATTCCTGGCTTCCAGAACCAAGGAGTTTAACTACCACTACTAACTCATAAATAGTTACTACAAAGCCGTTAAATGCAACTGGTGATACTGATGGCAACTCTTACAGTGTCAGAGAGCTGCGCTGCCTAGGTTACTGCTAAATATAATGCTGAAGGCTGGGGTGGCGAGATACCACTTGATAGCTCTTTAGAACATTTTTTAGTGGATTTTTGTTTACGGCATCATGATAAAAAAAAAGAAATGCAGTGTCACGTCTATGCTACATGTATTCCAAGGAGAGAAATTTTATTTTAAGGACTTCCTAAGTTTGTGGTTGAAATGGAGAGGCTACACCAAATAATCTCACATGTATCTGTGAATTTGTGTATTTATTTCTACTATAGCAATATGCACCTTAAAAATAGCAGCAGCTCAGGATCTGCCAAAAGCAAAACCTCTTTCGAGGTGCTGTTTCTGTGCATACAGGTACAGCTGAGGACTCCGGTCTCTAGTATATTCTGCTTCCTAACTATTGGAGCTTCTTAGGGCCTAAGCTGACAAGTGACCATTTGAAGGAGACACACATACAGAGGCCAAGGGGCAGACACCAGCCCTCCACCTCATGGCATTTCTATTTTTCAGCTAATTTTCCTACTTAGTCATGCTTTTTAAATATTACACACAGACCTTCTTGAGCATTTCTTACTGAAATTTTTCCTTTGTGGTCTGGTTTTGTTTTTAAGGAGGAAATTATTATGACAAGAATCACATCATTATGAATCAGCCGATAGATGACAAACAGTCACAAAAATGGGATATTGAAATATTGTGAGTAAAACCCACCACACAGCTGGACTTTGTGTGGGTTATTAACATCTAGAGGGGGGAAAAAAAAACGCCAAACTACTGAAGTCACACACCACTGGAACCTTAAGCAGCAACTCCTCTCTCCTTCATACCAAGCACCAACTCCTAAAACGTCTGAATTTTGCACAAATCTGGAAGATGGGAGATTGATCTAATGTCTTTCTGCAAGGAAGCTGATTCTTTAGAGGCCACTCCTATGACAGTCACTACTACTTTTCAGCTGAAGTATTAAAAGTAAAAGCCCAGACATCAGTTTTGCAGGATCTGAACTGCAAGAGATAACGTGGGAGAGGCTCTTTGGAAATGGTGTCTTTACCTTCCTCTCAAACTGATGGAAGCTCACTGAAGAATGAATGCACTACTGAGCTTGAAAGAGGTGGAGTTGGCCTTTTATGTCCTGAGTGAAACCCTGTAGGCTCCAAGCGATCCTGCAGCTCAGATTGTATCCCTTGCTAAAATGCAATTTATTTTGTTCATAAAGAAAGACAACTTTGAACTGGAATTATCTACCAGCTCAGCATGCGAACTGTGGCAAGAGAAAGCCTGCCTTTCACCCCCTAATGTTACTGGTAGGCCTCTGTCTTCATTTGTTTTAACAATACCAACTTGCCAGGTTCAGGAACTGGTTTTGCTGACCCATGGCCTGTTTCTGACCCAGGAAATTGAGAGTTATCGACGAAGGTCACCTTTAACATGGACCCATACGGGCATCTATCAAAAGAGCATAAATGGTCCTGGGTCAGGCTAGATTTCTACAAGGCCTAGCTGCAGTTACAGCAATAATCATTTTAACTCCAGCTGTATTTTGTTTTCATGTATATAGATTAATTTAATACAATGTAATTTGGTCTTGCAACCACGTCTTCCTTCAGAAAATAACTCACCCTAGAAGGACTGTCAAAGGTGCTAGCAAGTCTGCGTTTCAACACTTGCTTAATGTTAAAAGAAGACCAGCGTAACTGCACATTAACATTACTGTGGCTCATGAGCAACAAGCACACCGTACCCCAGAGGACGAGGAGTTAGGCTAATGGCCCAGACCTTGGCACGCGCCTGCTTTCCTCAATTTCAGCACTGTGCAGCCAACCAACTAGCTGTCACTTGAGGCAGGTAGAGCCAAATACCTTACTGGACTGCAGTTGTTGCGGGCTTGAAAAGTACATTCTTCTCTCGACACTGACAAATAGAGAAGGAACGGCAGACTGCTGTGGGGCTGTGAACACCTGATGTGGAAGAGAAGTCCCCAAGATCATTGGTAACTTCATTTGATTTCAGCATCACTAAATTAATCTACTTCATTGAAAGTGTATTTTTTTTCCCTCTCCTTATTTGTATATTCAGGGTGTGTATTTCTATGACTATTTAAAGAGTCTAGCTAACATAAAGACAGATATTTTCATTTCCAAAAGCTGTAACTATTCCAGTTGTGCATTCAACCAGGAGTCATCCCCAAACAAATAAAAACACATAACCCTAAGTTTGCCATAGAAATAAAATATATGGATGTCTATTTTTGTATGAAATGGAGTTCTATATAGTACTATTTAAAAAAAAAAAACCCTATCTACTTGCACTTACTATTTTACATTCTAAAGTTATCATAAATCTGCTGTTTAAGTAACAGATCTTCAGATGTATGTATATATTTTTCCAATTAAAGCACTTGTTTAGCTTTTTTTATGTAAGTTGGTATAGCAAGTGTTCTACACGTGATTTGCTTTCCCCATGAAGCCTGTGTACAATGTTCTAGTCTTCGAAACCAAGAATGACCAAATGATATTTGGTGGGTCAGCGTTACATGGCAAAGCAAAGCAGGCTTTTGTACTTAAGAGCTCTTGAATGTAAAAATGCTAAGCTTGTATATTTTAATTGTATAAAACTTTTTCTAGCAGGAACATTTTGCTTGTTGGGTTGTTTGTTTGTTTGTTTTTTAAACAAACTAAATGCAACAATACATTTTAGCAGCTGTCAAGCATGTTCCTGTAAAATATTTCTTTTCAAATGGACGAAAAAGGAATAAGTATATTGAATCAGTGACTGTGGTGTTACGTTAGTTTGCATATTAAACATCACTGTTCAAGTATAAAACTACTCCCACCAAAACCCACCCAAGTGAGCACTGAAGATACAGATTCCAGTTACAGGTTTGGATTACTTTCGCATTAACTTGGTGCTGGAGAAGCTAGAAGTTAAATACTATTGTTTATTCCAGAGGGAGATGGCAGCATCTGAGAGGAAAAGGGGTTTCTTGGGGAAAGTCTTACCCCTTTCAGAAACAACATACACAGCTTTCACTGAGCAGTGAAAGCGTTCTCTCAGGGCAAACAACCAGAACAAATGGTGTTTCTTGCTGGTGAACTTCACAAATAAATGAAAAAAAAAAGTTACTGGGTTTTGCCTAAGGCCTAGGAGCCTGCTCCATGCATAGCTTTAGATGTCCTCCACATCAAGGCATGGATCCAGAGGAAAGGGGATACCACCACAGCACTGGTGTTACGATGAGTGACTTCAACCATCCACAGACATTGAGCTGTGGCTCACTGGACAACAAGCCTGTCTTCCCAAAGCTAAGGAAAGAAAAGTAGCATTTGGCACCAGAAAGTAGCAAAGTCTATATATCACAAAGCTTTTTTAGACAGCAATACAAACCAAAGGCTGGGTGGATAAAAAAGTAATTTAATAAGCCTTTCTCTCAGGAGATTCTTAATGGCCGGAAATACTACTTATAGGAACAGCTCATTCACAAAAGCATCAAATAACTTCAATTAGACATTCAGTCCATAGTGACAAGGCAAGGTTTTCCTTCTCTTCATCTGAGCTAAGGTTAAGCTCTTTAACATAAACAGCGCTGCTACTCCAAATCTGCTTCAGTGCATCCAAATATGACAAAGGAAACCGCAGTCCATGAGTCTGCTGGGGGAAAAAAAATATTTACAGAAAAATAAATCCTTCAGCTAAGTAAGTAAGTAAGTGCAGTGTCCCTTGTTACACAATAGTGTGTTAGACTATAGGTACTGAGTAGCAGCCACGTGCTCCTTTCCCATACCACGGTGGGATGCGCAAGATGCCATATCATCATCCTGCCAACTTTCTTAATGGACACATAGCTGAACTCTCTTACATGCTCTAGCACACCTTATGAGGTAGGGAGGCTTAAGGTGCCTGGCCTCCTCATGTGGTTGCCACACTGAAGAAGGAAACTACTTTACGTTAAATTTACACTCTTGCCTAACCCTACCCACTATTTTTTTTTTTTTGGAAAGCCATGTTTGTTAAGTTTCTAGGTATCTGGCACATGCAGCCTTTGGACATGGTTCGACAGCACCACAGGGGAGCCCCGTTGCCATCACTGGAGACTTGAAGGGCACAAGGTATGTTCTGGGACTTGCACGTATTGTACAGGCAACCTCAGCTACCCACATTCTCAACTCTAGAGGACCAATGAGATTTACCCTAAAAGGTAAGTAACTGCCAGGCCAAAAGCCTTGCTGTAATTGCTGAAACAAGAAAAGGCTGTGTTCTGCTTTGCCTCTACAGTGTACTTGTGCAGACAAATTTGTAGTCAAGCTTTCCAGGTCACAGACCTAAGATAGAGTGTTTTTACTATCATAAAGTGGAACAAAAAGTTCCAAAGCTCACTGCTACACTTCAGGACTATGTGATGTGAGCAAAAGCACGCTGTACATACTCCAAGTAAGAATGGAAATGAGCCATCTGCAACCTTACTAACAATATAGAGTTCCCTCCTTACATGTCAGTAAAAGAGATAACTCTTTACTGCACTGCTGACCCACCCCAGCCTACAATGAACACCCTTATCTTGCAGTCTGTTCCAGTGGATACAGCATCTGGGTTCAATGTGGCACGAACACAGCCCGTGAGGCACAGCGATCCCTGGCACTGCTCACCGCGTGCTAGCGGAGCAGGTAGCCTTAATAAGGGATGTGCTGAGGACACAGAAGTAAGAAACACTTCTAGTCACTCCAGTAGCTTTACTACCTAGGACTTAAGGCATGCATAAGAAATCCTGTTAATATCTCAAACATTCAATTAAGCATGAAATGACATTACTTAATTCTACCGTTAACTGCCTCACTCTTGTGGCCTTAGCTCACCCAGGTACCAATGGGAAGGGCAGAAATGCTTCAGGTGCTGAGGAATACAGTAGCAGCCAGGCCCCCACTACCATCTCAGTCAAACTCATCTAACACAGCAAAACCCAATGGGGCAGTGTAGCTTTTGTTATGCATTTGTGTGCATGCGTATGTGGGAACAAACCTGTGATGTGCCCTCCTCATTAGTAGTATCATCTTCTGTCCCCATCATGTGAGTGTCTCTCCTGTTCTTCAAAGAATGATACACATAAACCATCATCTCTCTGCGAATTTCATCCTAAAAGACAGCAGGAAGGAAATGGTTACGCATGAACCACACCCTCAAATTTATCTTATTCAAGTGACAACATTTCCTTAATTCTGGAGTCCACTGTTACGTCAGGGAAAGCAATTCACCTTCCTAACTGAATGATCCACCAGCCATCCACTACAGCAACAAGGGACTCTCTAAAACATGTCTGGAAATTTATTTACAGCCTGTAATCTTCTGCCTTAATACTGCCTCTGCTAGACTGAAGCTGTATACAAAACATGCCATTTAAGGTGCACCTCCCAGAAGGGCTCAATACATCTCCATCCCGATACTGATCTGTCTCTTTAAAATCATATGCCTGTTACTTTTCTTTGTTCAAAGCTGCGCAAACCAATTCAAAGCTCTGTGCACAGGTCTCACACCAAATTTGTGGACACAAGTTTTGTATGTGTGCTGTCATTCAGTGTTTACCTGTATGACATCAGAAGGCAAGGCAACAAAATGCAAAAAACGTTTCCAAATCTTACAGTCTCACAGCAATATGGACACAAACAAAATGGGGGAGAAAAATCAGAAAGTTACGGTATGTTTTTCTTGGAGGGAAACATTTTACTGGAGCGAAAAAATTGTACAAGATAAT